CTTCCGCATAGGCTGGACCCATGGGCGATCCCCATGTGGCACACTGGGATTGGGCTCGAGATCATATATAGGCTGAGGGCTCGAGGGAAAAGAGAGAGAGAGCATAAGAAATTTACTGTAAGGAGCCTGAATAAACCGCTGAAGGAAGAGCTATGTGTTGCGTCGTCCTTGCTGGCGAGGTCGTGCGTGACACGTACTCAACAGAATATAGGAAGGCTTCCTCTCTGTTTTTCTGTCTGTCTTTCCCTCCATCCCTCTCCCTCTCTACTCTCCCTTCTTTCTCTCTCCTCCTACTGCTCTACCCTCCAAAAAATACCCACTTAAAAAACCCAAATGTTCCTGCACCCCAATCAGAAAGTTGCAAAAAAATCTCATTTGTCTTTATTTCGGTCTTTTACCTCTTATTTTATTATTAATTTTATTGAGAAGCAAATAGCAATGAGACAGTTTCAAAACAGGTTAGTAGGATAGTTACAATAATTAATACACTGCATATTGTTGTCTTAATAGTAGTTATTCATAGTACAAGATGCAGACATGATATCCTCTCCTAACAGTATTAGTACAATTTTTTTTTTCTTTTTTTCAGAACGAAGGATTGAACTCAGGCCCTTGTGCTTACCAACGAAGCGCTTATTCTACTGAGCCATCTCCCCAGTCCTCCCTGCTTTTTTTTTAGGGAAGGGGCTACAGGGTGTATAGGGTTTCACTACTAGATCAGACTCGTAGTGATCCACCTGTTTATAGCCTCCCAAGAGCTGGGATTACAGTCACGTGCCACCACACCCAGTCTCTAGTACAAGTCTTTCTTCTCATTGAGTTAAGAGAAAGTAGCTATATATCTATCCTATTTTGTATACACAGATACAGATATATAGATATATAGACATGTATTACTACAAAATGGTCCTTTATCTATATCCCTCTTTTTTGTTTACTTTTGTCAGAGATGGGTATTCCGTTTCCATTTAAGTATTGTAGGTGCATGAATTCAGCAAAATAATCCAATATAGTCCAGTAGTCCCAAATAGTAGTGGGTTATCTGTAGGACTGGCAATGTCAGAAGTTGATGACTTGAGCCTTTTACAGCTAAACATATTAATATTGCTTTACTTTTTGTACCTCATTTTTATACTTTTCTGCTGGACAGTTAAGACCAAGATAAAGCAAGACCTATATAACAAGAAATGTAACTTTTGTATCTGACAAAGTCAGTCAAATTCCTTTAGGGTTTACCCTGAAACCCTGTACTGCAGTTTGTAGATCCTTTGTGTCAGCCATGTGGATGAGTCACGGCCATTGCTTGACCAATTTGCTGTCTGTGAAAGCCTGAGAGAATGTTTTCTCTCCATCTGACTTGCCTTAGGCACACTCTACATCATTGACCACTTTCCTCTGTGGCCCCCATAATCGCCTTGATCAGAAAATTCGGGACACCACTGAGTTACAGGCTATTACAGTACAGGTTTTCCTGTGTTCTGAGTCCTCACTGACCTTGAAAGGCTAGGGTCAAAATGTTGGCTGTCCTTATAGCCCTTCTTTTTCTCTACTTTTTGGTCTGCAAACTTAAGTTGTTAACCCTCCAGAAGAGAAGCTTAATGATATTATCACCCCATAACATAGATTACCCTATAACACAGTCTTCTGCCCCTTTTTACTGATCAGGAAACCAACAGCTTAGTTGCTCTGAGCCCAGTCATATTTAAGCCTAGTCAAGATTTAATTTGAGCATCTCTCCATTAACATACAACCTGCTCCTCAAGTTGGAAGTCCCATTGTCAATTCAGACCTACATGACAGTGCTACACATACACGCTAAGGTACTCCCCCTTGGGTTGGCACCCCAGATTGGCCCACCCAACCCCTCATAAACACTCAGAGACAGGAGACAGAATGGGCAAGCAGGAGGGCTGTGAGGGTGTGGGCTGGGTCCTGGGAGGAAAAGTGGTCCCTGGGCCTCGGCTCCCAGCGTCTCAGGCCAAAGCCTGCTATTCATTCTCTCCCTACCATATTTCGTGCTGCAGCAAACTAGACAGCAGTGGTGTGGTGGCAGCCTGTGGGACAGAAGCATCCGACATGGCCACCTTAGATGGCCACTCTTGCTGTGCTGTTTCCTCTGTGTAGCTCACTGCCCCAGTGCCCCAGGCACCGCGTGTCGTGCACCTTCACAGCTTGGTTTTGCACCTCGCAGCCTGGACGTCTGTCTCTCTGGAATGTCAAGTACACTACAAGTCTCGGTGTGCCGTCCTTTCTACAAGACAGTTTAAATCTATGTTCACAATGCAAAATTTACACACCTTTTAACTGTAATAGGTGGTGCTTGGCAACATTTAACGAGTGGTTACTTCTGCTGGGTGCTGTGCTGTCCTCCTTGTGACCCGCGTGATAACCTAATGAAGTAGTACTATTACTTCTATTTTACAGACAGAAATCCTGGAGCACAGAGCTTAGCCTACCCAGAGCTACATGTTTCTAACAAATGGGGACCATTTCAAGTTCCCCTGGGATCTACCCCAGCCTGTGGAAGCTCCCGAGCTCTCAGTGCTCGGCCTTCCGCCGCCGCCGCCGCCTGCCAGCTCGCCAGGGTGCTCGCCACCCCGTTGCCCGGCGCTTCCTCGTCCGCCGGCTCCGTACGCGGCTCCCTACGCGAGCGCCAGCGTTCCTCTGCCGCGAGGGGGGCGGCGGGAGATGTCGCAACCACTTCCCTCCTCTTTCCCCGCCTTGGCACTGTCGCCTCCCAGCCGAGCGCGCCCGCAGACCGGTGCTGGCGGTCCTGCGCCCGGCATGTTCCCCGAGCGCGCGCGGGCGGCGGCGAGCACCAGCGCCCCGCGCAGCCTGGAGCAAGCCAACCGCACGCGCTTTCCCTTCTTCTCCGACGTCAAGAGCGACCACCGGCTGCTGCTGAGCACCGTGGAGACCACTGTGCTGGCGCTCATCTTTGTGGTGTCGCTGCTGGGCAACGTGTGCTCCCTGGTGCTGGTGGCGCGCCAGCGGCGTCGCGGCGCCGCGGCTAGCCTGGTGCTCAACCTCTTCTGCGCGGACCTGCTCTTCACCAGTGCCATCCCGCTGGTGCTGGTCGTGCGCTGGACCGAGGCCTGGCTGCTGGGCCGCGTCGTCTGCCACCTGCTCTTCTATGTGATGACCCTGAGCGGCAGCGTTACCATTCTCACGCTGGCCGCGGTCAGCCTGGAGCGCCTGGTGTGCATCGCGCGCTTGCAGCGCGGCGTGCGTGTTCCGGGGCCGGGGGCGCAGGCCGCGATGCTGGCGTTCATCTGGGGCTACTCGGCGCTCACCGCGCTGCCCCTCTGCATCTTCTTCGAAGTCGTCCCACAGCGGTTTCCCGACGCCCACCAGGTGAGCACCCCCAGGGCAGCCGGGCAGATTCTGATGGAAGAAGCGGTGAGTAGGGATGATGATGCTTAATAGCAATAAGCCATTTGTTGCAATTACCCATTGTGTCAGACTCTGTGCCCAATCGCTGTGAAATTTCCTTTCCTAAATCTCAGTGTCAACTCTTTGATGTCTGTGCCTAAACCTCCTCTCAAACTCTGTAAGTGGAGTCCCCCAAGTTCTTGCCAAATGCAGTGATGATGATGCGTTTAATATCGGGGAGTTTAGGAGTCCCACTGATGCGGGGCTGCGAGGTGGCTGAAGGTGTGGGGAACTCTGCGTCCTCACCAGTGCTGCACTGCTGCAAGGGTACAGATGAGGAAGCGAGCGCACAGAGTATTAACTCCTACCTTAGATGCAGGAGGAGTTCGGTTCCTGCAGAAAGGTAGGCTTGTTCTTCGAAAGCCTAAGAGGAGGTGTTTGTGGGTGGCTGGAGAGGGGCACTAGCGAACCAGGGATCCCAGACCGAATGCTGCCCAGCCCGGGCTAGAGACATCCTCGCTTCTCCTCTTCTCCGGGATCCTCTGTTTTTCCAACTGCAAGACTTCAAGGGAAGATTACATGGGATCTTACACTGGGAGCTTCAGACAAGGAAAGATTTTCAGATATCCCACACCCAAGACCTATAGCTTAGATTCCAGAGGCTGGGTCGAACAATTTTGTTTTGGTCAGTGGGTGCACAGCTTTCGCTGGGATCTAGGATCTTGGAGGGGAGGGTCTACGTTCTAGGAATCATTCTCCTGGCAGTGCAGCTCTGGCTCGGTCCACCTGGAGTCCCACAGTGGGAAATTCCTGGTGTGCAGGTCTGTTCACATTGTCACCCGACCGGATCTACCCCAGAGGGCAAACCTGGGGGCCTGGCTGCTGTGGAGGACAGCAGCTGGCTAGTCCTTCTGTTTACACTGAGCATTTTCTGCTCAGCACTGCTGCAAAGAGGAAAAAGACTAAGGTCTGTGCACATGACCGGGATAGTGCGGTGAAGTCCTGACTCCTGACGTAGCTTTCTGGAGGATCTGCTGGAAGCTGGATTCTCATCCCCCTCTCTTTTCTCTCGTGGAATTTTTGTTTTGTTTTGTTTTGTTTTTGGCCAGCTCAGCCCACCCTGAGGGCAGGGCAGGTGCAGCATGTGGTGCCAGGGATCAAATCACGGTCCCCTGCACCTGCCTAAGCTTGCCTGCGAAGGCACTTTAGACCGCTGACCTATCTCCCCCAGCCCAGGTTATTGGTTTCTAGTCTGGGTCACAAACTCTCACCCTGTTCTTAGGAAAGGAAGTGAGGCACCCAGAGCCTGCCAGACAAAAACAAGAACTGTAGTCCCCAAGAGAAGCCTGTAATTAATGAGAGGCAGAGGAGATAGCCCCCAGAAAAGCTCCAAATGGAGTCACCTCCCCGGTGGTGCTCTGGGCATGTGACCCTCCAGAGCTATGCACACGAGGGGCTTCGCTGAGGACTTCTCCACACTGATGCACACACAGGTCTTTCGCTTGGGCATAGGCTGGATGGAGGGTGCAGCCTTGGAGTTGGGGGAATACGGGGAATGGAGCTCAGCAAGTGCCTCGCACTTGCCAGGCAGGTGCGGTGCCCTACACTATGTCCCTGCCCGGAGGTGCATCCCAATAGAGTAGCTTCTTATTTAATTTTTTTTTTAACCAAACATAAATCAAAACAAAAAGTCTGTTTCCAAGTTCATTTCTCATGGAGAGTACATTTTGGAGGTGTTTGTATGGTTGGGGCTTTGAATGAAGCAACTATCAGTCCTGTGGTACTTGATCAAAAAACATGTAACCTTGTGGCCAAGGCCCCCTCCCGGGGTCAGGAGAGCCACGGTTAGCTGAGCTGTCAGCTACTGGTGTCCTTGGGAGACCAAAACTCTAGCTCAGCTGCTAGGCTTAGTCCAGCACCCCTGAGTGTCAAGACGGCCCCATAGGAGACGTTGTTGACGTTTCTAAGTCGCAGCCCAGGCCTAACTTCATGCCAACATGGTCAGCTAGGGTTCTGCCACCAGTGTTTCTCTGGTTTTAGGTATTCTTTCACTGTTATATTACTACATTTTTTACATAATTTGAGAGATTTCTCATTCTTTTCTTTTTTTAAAATGTATTTGATACACGGTCTCACTACATAGCATGGACTCATAGTGATTCTCTTGTTTTCAGCCTCCCCAGTGCTGAGATTACAGGTGTGCACCACCACACCCAGTCTCAGTGGCTGGCTCAGTGCACCCAGGGCCACGTCCCGTGCAGCATATGATGCCAGGGATCGAACCCCAGTCCCTGCACTTGCCTAAGCAGGTGCTTAGTCTGCTGAACTATCTCACCAGCCCTCTCATTCTTTTCATAAAGAAAAAGTGAGGTGCAAAAATTATTTTAAGAGTGTCTTAAATTTGCAGTTGTGTATTTTGTACCCTGCCTTTTAGTATTGAACATACTCCTCCTTAACTGGAAAATAACTCTAAGAAAGTAGGCTCTTCCCTCCTCTAAGACAGAACCCTAGACTCTTAACTGTTGCACTAATGAGCACGCTGGTGGTTGAGCAAGCCAGCCATTGTGCAGAGGGGAGACCTTGCTGTCTTGGCTTCCCTGGGAGTGTGTTGTCAGAGCCCTCCAGGGCTTTTCTGGCATGGTCAGAGCTGCACGGTGCTTCTGAGGATGTCTGTCCTGCTGGGAGGCACACAGCTCCTTCTTTTCTTAATGAAGAAACACCTGCTTGGTTTTAGGGGCCTTTGGTGAGGGATTTGGGCAAAGCCATCCGAAACAAATGGGCTGAAACTATGCTTCAGAAGGTCGGGAGCAGGACAGTTACCTGCAGGCCCCTGTTTATTGTCAGGTATAGGTAGAAGGGGAGCTTGCAGCAGAGAAAGTGGGTCCCTCTCTTCTGGCTCTTCAGCTTCCTTGGTTTCTCTGGCCAGTTTGCCATCACACTTCCTCTCTCTTTCTGTCTCACCAAGTTATTCTCTGTTTGAGTTACAGTGTACACTGTTCTCTTTTATCCAAGTTCTACTTGCTACAGTTAGAGTTACTAGCAGCATCAGTTACTCATGGACAACCAAACTCTCATGAGGTTAAATGGAAAATTCCAGAAATAAAAAATTCCTACCTTACATAATTTTATTACAGTATATTGTTATAATTACCCTAGTTTATTATTGATGTGTCATTCACTTACTGTGCATGATTTATAAATTAAGCTTCATCAAAGGGATGTTTATAAAGGAAAAATAGCATATATGAGGTACAATTGAAGTCTTTGGTGAATATTTAAAAATTACTCATTATAGTAAAAGACACCTTGCCTTTAATTTACACACTGCCATCCATTCCACCTTACTTTGTTTTCAAAAATACTTTGAATGCAAAATGCCATCCAAGAGAAAGCCAGGCTTGCAAAAACATTAGTGCATCCTCACCTGCCTTGTTCACCTGATCGCTGGATCCCTGCCACGGAGGGCTCCTCCCCAAAGCCAAAGTAACCATGACAGGTAAATGCTTTGAGTTGATTCTGGACATTGAGGCAACCACAGCAATAAGTCAAGATATCACCAGAGCGCTTCCAAAACTGCCCCAGAGGGGGCAAGAATGGTGGGGTAGGTGTAGCCAAAGTGAGGGGGTGCTTTTGAGGCATTAATGGCACTGTGTTTTACTGGAATATTTTTAAAATTTAAACTTTCACCAGAATTTTCCATTACACTGTGTAAAGGATCCGTTACTACATGCAGTTTCAGAGACCTACCAGGGGTCTTGGAAGTCCCTTGAAATAAGGGGTGAGGGGGGGCTATTGTATTTTCTCTACTCCTACTAAGGAAGTCAGCAAACAGAGCTCCATAGGCCCCCGGGGGCTGTCTAAGGGTGTCAGGAGCATCCCTCTTTGTGGGCTCAGTGGCTGACTACATGTGCTGAAATAAATCAAAGTGGTGGGGGGGGCAGGGAGCATGGCAATTTATTGATTGATTGATATTTAAATTTTCCTTTATTTATTTTAAGGAGTAAAATAAATTTATTTATTTTATTCCTTGGTTTAGTATTTGTATAGCATCTCACTATGCAGCTCGGACTCACAGTGATCCTCCTGTTTCAGCCTCCCCAGAGCTGGGATTACATGCACCACCACGCCCAGTTTTGGTGGCCAGCTCCTGGGGCGGGGCTGGCACCGCATGAACCTGGTCCTTGTGCTTGCCAGGCAGGCACTTAGACCTCTGAGCTATCTCCTCAGGCCCATTTATTTTTATTTTTAAAGAGATGTAAAAGAACATTGAAACAAATACTAATTTCACTAAACAAAATGGTAGGAATTCAGCAATGGTTGTTATATTGCATATTGTAGTGTGACAATATTCAAAAAGGACAGAGACAGATCTGGTTTAGAGTTAGCTTAGGGTCGCACATAAATTACCGAAGGCATGTTTTCTCAGTCCTCATAGGTCCTTCTCAGCTGGACACAAAATGTGGAAGTTTTGGTTGGGGGATATTTTTCTTTCCAAATCATGTGCGAGGGCCCAACTAAGGCCACTGCACAGGCGCTCCTTCTCCTCAGTGAGTGCTGGAAAGGAAAACCGTGCTCCTCAGGGCTTTCTGCTCCTCAGAGACAGCCTTGAAACAGGGACACGTCAGCCTTGTCCACCGGCCTGCATGTGCCTACCCTTTCCTGGCGGGCAGACTATAAACTTCCCTGAGAGGCAGGGGAGAGGGCGCCCGTGCTAGACAGAAACCTAGGCCTTTCGGCATTGCGGACTTTGAAATCAAACATTCTGAGCTCATCTCTGATCCCCGAGGAGCTGTGTGGCGGAAGACAAGCTGCTCCCCCCCACTCTACACCGCACTTTCTTGGCTTGCAAAATGGGCTCAAGAACAGAATCAACTGTACAGTACGGCCAAGGGGACTCCTGTGCAAGAAACCTGGCAGGTAGACAGTTAAGTGCTGAAGAACTGATCGCTGTTGTTAGTTTTCCTTATCTTTGAGAATAAACA